TCAGTAGTTGTGGCTCACGGGCTCAGTAGTTGTGGCTTGTGGGCTCTAGAGCGCAGGCTCAGTAGTTGTGGCACATGGGCTCAGTTGCTCTGCAGCATGTGGGATCTTCCCAGACCAGGGCTCGAACCCGTGTCCCCTGCATTGGCAGGTGGATCCTGAACCACTGTGCCACCAGGGAAGTCCCAACACTTCACTTTTTCATGCAGATGCCGATGAAAGGAGACTTGTAGAAAAGTGTGGGTTAGTACAAATCCTGGAGGAGGTGGCAATTGAGTCCATTCTTAGACCAATTCTTTGAAAGCTGTGGCTTGAGAAACACCTTATTCGACGCGCTGTTCAGATACTGGCTTTTCATGGCCTGCCAGCTTTAAAGCCCCCGTTAGTAAGTGTTTGTGTAGCTCATTCCCCGCTCACAAGTCAGTTTGCCTCTGTCACACTGTCCCCAGGTGAGGGTCATACCTTGCCGGCCACTGTGTCCACTCAGTGGGTCCTGGGAGGCTACCTCTGCAGTCCCTCTAGGGTTTCTCCCTAAGCGCTGGCCCATTGTTTTCCCTGTGTGGAGCTTTCTCTCTTAAATGTCAGGTAGACCACTGCCAAATATTTGAAGTTCGAATGCTGCACGGCTCTTTGACTGCATTTTTTTAATATATAAATTTATTTATTTTATTTTTGGCTGTGTTGGGTCTTCATTGCTGCGCACGGGCTTTCTCTAGTTGCAGCGAGTGGGGGCTACTCTTTGTTGTGGTGCGCGGGCTTCTCATCGTGGTGGCTTCTCTTGTTGCGGAGCACGGGCTCTAGACGTGAAGGCTTCAGTAGTTGTGGCATGTGGGCTCAGTAGTTGTGGCTTGCAGGCTCTAGAGCACAGGCTCAGTAGCTGTGGCTCACGGGCTTAGTTGCTCTGAGGCATGTGGGATCTTCCCGGACCAGGGCTCGAACCTGTGTCCCCTGCATTGGCCAGGCGGACTCTTTAACCATCGCGCCACCAGGGGAGCCCTCTTCGACTGCATTTTTACCCAGGCCATGTCTGTGTCCCGGCCACCAGAAAGGACAGTGAGCCATTAGCTGTGGCAGAGACAGTGTACCTGCCATGACTGGGATGGAACAGAAACCGTTTATAAAAAATGACTCAGTGGAAAATTTTCCTGACTTTCCTGCCCTGTGAAATCTTTCCGGTTGATACTAATGACACTTGTGGCTGGGGAGCTACCGTACAGCAGGCCTTTGTTCTGGAGTCGAGGGGGAGAGACAGGCCTCTCCCGGCCCTTCTTCTCCTTGGTCTTGATCTGTGCTAACCATAGTGTAAGTGACACCCATGTGTAGGTTGTAGTGAAAACAGACAGTTTCATAGGTTGCAGAGTACAGGAAATGTTAAGTCCATCGCCGCTTCTTCAGGCCATTTGTCAAGTGTAGTTTAGCCTGTGCTACAGGTGGAGTGAGCCCTCGGGAAGGTGGAGGGCAGCGAGGGGGTGAGTATTTGGGTGTCAGGCTGGGAGAACCCTTGGTGCGACTTGGCTCAATCTCCTCATTAAAGGAACAGAAACAATCTCCTCATTAATGGAACAGAAACAGAGGGACTGAGGGGCCTGCCTGAGGCAGACGCGACGGCCAGAGGGTCTCGCCGCGGCGGGATGAGCTCTCTCCAGTTAGGGGCAACAGGTAGCGCGGAGGCTCTGCTGCAGGGCCTCCTTTCCTCCTAACACCTATGCGAGCGACCAGGACAAATCCGGAAAAACAGCCATTAGGGTCGCAAACCCACTCCCAGGATTAGTGCAGCCAAAACTACGTAAACAACAAAAACCATTTTTAAATTAGTCTTGCTGCTCCAGCAAATACGTTAGAAACGTACTTGCAGAGTGAGACACGGGGCAGGGCCAGGCTCGGCTTTTCATAGCCGGTCCCTGCCTGGAGGCCCCGCACGTGCGTGGGGAGCAACTGATGTTAAAACGGACCATGGATGAATGGACAGAGCGTGTCCTCAGGACCTGGCCTCTCAGTGCCCTTGTCCAGGGCCAGCAGCACAGCCTCAGGTTTTCTTTTCAGCCCCTGAGGGAGTCCAGTTCGTGCCCCTGGCCAGGGCGCCTGAATTCTAGGTGGTTCTCTCTCCTTCTCTCAGCTTCCTGAGCACTTTGCTGGCCGCCCACCTGGCCTGTGGGCCCCAGGCCTCTTCTCGCCTGTGCAGGTGTCAGGCCGGGTGGCTTTTCCATGGCGCCGCCCCAAACTGGCTCCCCACCCCGGACCCCGCTGTGCTGTGAGAGTGTGTGTGTGTGTGTGTGTGTGTTCAAGCCTCTGCCCTGGAAACATTCCAGCCACAGGTGCCCAAAATCACAGAGCCCCTTGGGGACGGGTGGCTTGCTGTGTCCTGACTGTTGTCCACGTCCCCAACCAGGGGGTGGCTGTGTGTCAGCGACGCGCCCCCCCCATGCGTGACACCCCCATCCACGTCCACTCTGTCGTCCTCCCTCAAGTGACGGTGCCCTCCCTGCAGGTCATAAAGAAGGAAACTGGGTTCTGGAGAGACTTCGGGTTCGGGATGACGTGCCAGTACCGGTCCGACTTCATCAACATAGGTGAGCCCGGGGCCCTGGTCCCTAAGGAGGACGCTCTCCGGCCACGGATGTGGGTGCTGGGCTGAGGGCGCTCGGGGCAGTGGGGACCCTGTCTTCTCCTTCAGCACCTCTCAGTGTCCCTGGGGGAGGACAGAAATGAGGGCAAAGTCAGGCTGTTGCATAAAGGCGGCTTCGAAGCAAGTTGTCCAGGGCCTCCCTCCAGCCGGGCCGGGCTCCTGTGTCCTTCGCACAGAACGTCCTCCATGGAGAGGGGATCCACCAGAAAGAAGGGCAGCACGGAGGACTGGGGAGAAACCACACAGCAGGACAATCCTGGTTTCTCTCTGCTGAA